TCTCTCTCTCTCTCTCTCTCTCTCTCTATCGCTTTTAATGATAGTTTGATTATAATAGCAATATTTGAATCATTATTTAAAATTATTTTAATATTAATTAAATCAATTAATTGCTAATTAAAATTACAAAAGTTTTGTATTATAAAATTAAATTAAAAATCACACAAAAAAGTATAAAAAAAGGTAAAATCAAAACACAATATATGAGCGTAAAACACATGAACACAGGTAGGCTGACAACAACCCCTAACGATCCACTTCACCGAACACTATATCTAAACTGCCGATAATGGCCACTAAGTCGGCCAACAGTAGAGTACGGCTCATGTAGTCGAGTGCGGACAAGTGGGCAAATCCGGGCGCTTTGATTTTGCACCGATAGGGTCGGAACGAACCGTCGGACACCATATAGAGGCCAAACTCGCCCTTCGGTGCCTCAATGGCCGTATAAGTAGCGCCTGCGGGCACACTATAGCCCTCCGTAAACAGTTTAAAGTGATGTATCAACGCTTCCATCGATGACTTCATTTCCGCACGAGTCGGAGGAACCACTTTGTTATCATCGGTGCGGACCTCTCCGGCGGGCATACGGTTCAGACACTGGTGTATAATATTTACCGATTGTCTCATCTCTTCAAAACGGCACAAAAATCTGACAATTATCAATAAAAGTTAATTAGTGAAAAACCACTACAATTTAATTAACACTACAGACAGTTATAATTTATAACATTTAAACCGAAAGCTAATTGAAATATAAACAACAATTTATTAATTGACTTTTAGGCACAAGTCTATCCGCCTTACAGTCACATTGCGTGCCAACTCCCACCACATGTCCTACACATACCGGTCATAACAATCGCCGTTCAGACCAATGGGTATATCGAAGTCAAAGTCCTCGTAACTGTCGTAGGGCTGGGTTTTGCGTAAATCCCATTTGATTCCCGACCCGCGAAGCATAACACCACTCATTCCCCAATTCAGCGCGTCTTCAGCCGATATCACACCGATAT